GCAAGGAGGCTTGGAGGGAGCGATAGTGGTGGAATCTGCAGAATTTTTGGCAGAGTTTGGAGGAGTTTGGGGAGGAGGAGTTCGTTTTTTGAGAATTTTTGTGAGGGTTTTTTGGAGAATTTTTTTGAGATGGCACCTAAACGCAAGGTATCGTCATCTTCTTCAGGTGCTGAGAAACCCAAGAAGTAGTGAGTGTTGCCCAAGCTAGAGGAAAAATTGGAAGTGCTGGACTGTTTACAAGATGACATGACTGTGTGTGCTGTGCTCTTAAAGCCGCTAAGCCGTTAACAGCCGCTAAGCCGCTAAGCCGTTAATAGCCGCTAAGCCGCTAATAGCCGCGCTTCGCAAGACGAAAAAACCGCAAGACGAAGAGACTCGCGGAACGGATTAATTTCGTCTTGCGAGGCACCACTGTATTGCAGGAATGCGTCCAGTATACGTGCCATTAAGATACGGGAGAAGCAAATCCAGTCAGCAGTGACAGCAAGTACACCTATAACTGTGAAAGTCACCAGCCAGGTGTTGGACAAGGCCCTGGTGGTGGCGGCACATAAAACACTGAACCTGTGGCTAGAGGACATGAACTGCCAGCTTATCCCCATCAATGTCGCTTCAATTTGAAGAACATACACACCGATGGTGAAGGTGCAGCCACAGACCAGGAGGCTGCCCAAGTATACCCTGACCAGCTGAAGAAACAAAAGTGCCAGCTGTCCATCACCATGTTTCTCTGCAATACACCATAAGCAGCAAGTGAATCTGACCCACAGCCAAGCACTCTGAGGTACCGGTCTACCCTGCTTGTTGTTATTTCCACATCGTCCTCCAGTGATGAAGAAGACTGACAGCCACCATTCGTGCCAGTCTAATAAGTGCTGCTGGGTTTTTTAAAAGGGTTTCCAGAGGTTTAGAGGGTGTTTGCAGGCTTTTTCAATGGTGTTCCCACTTAATGCGATTTCACTTACACATGCGGTGCCTGTCTGTACACAGCTTTCATTGCCAAGTGCTTCCAAGATGTGAAAGACCTCTTTGCAGAGCAACTCCCACCTGAGGGCCACACACACAAATATCCCAAGGAAGTTTAATCCTAGTGAACACATCTCTCAAGATTTCAGCTACGCAGAGTCAACTAGGTAACCCTATGGGATGTGTGACAGCCATCAACCTTTCTTTATCATGCTTTCAATAGGAGTGCAGAGTCATTCCTTACTAAATCAGAGCAATTAAGAACCAAACTGATAAAGGAGGACAAAAGAGACACAATCCAACATTAACAACTGATGGTTACAATAAGAACAAGTCTGCTGCATCAGGTCAAAGGCACATCTTGCGCAGCATCCTGTTCTCACAGTGGCTGACCAGATGGAACCTGCAAGCTGGACATGAACACACAGCAGAGCAATATACCAGATTGTGGACTTTCCACCCACACACTTTCTACCCCACCCCATGTAACACTAGGAAACAGGCCTTTCTAAAAGGATACAACATTTTAAGCAACGATTGCACCACACCCACAAAAATATTTTCAATTTAGGAAGCACAGCTTAGCTGTATATCATGGGCACTTCCATAGTAATGGTCAACAATGTACATGTTAGGCTGAGTCATCTGTGAAAACTCAGGGAGAAAAATAATAGCTACTGAAAACCAGAGTTCAAGCTACCATCTGGCACTGAAGTAAGGGGTCAGAGCCAGAGAGTCCAAGGTTACCAAAACAGGTAAGAGCAATCCAGATGCAATTCAACAAAGCAGCCTGGGTCACCATCAGGAAGTCAGGGGTCACCTCTACACTAAGAGAGATGATCTGTTGGTTTCTATTTCCCTCACTGAGCAGCAACTGCAGTCACAAGGCATTGTTTTGCATTCCACAGTCAGAGGTACTGTTGGAGTTTCTCACGGGAAAGGGAGACTGGATGTGACGTACACTGGTTTCCTGTTTTTCACTGTCTGTGTGATTCTCTCCAAGCTGTCGAGGAGAGAGGATGCATTTTTCTGCTCTTGCAGAGGCAAGATGTCTTTCTGTAATATACCAGCTTTGAACTGTAAATAAAGCAATTTAGAGTATGTACCACATTTTCCTCATCCTTCCGCTGGGCACGACAGACTCTGCTTTAAATCAACACGTGGTTATGGACTCCAGGAGTCGAATCGGAGTGCCGGCAGAGGATCGGAATGCAGAGGGACGGATCGGAAAGGAATCTGCTCTGCGCGTAGAGGTGATTGATGAGGTATGTGCTACTGCTCCGGGCAGCCTGCCAGCTTCAAGATAATGGCTTTATGGCTGGACTTTGAACTTTTAAAGCCGGTTTTGGTAATAGGCAAAAGGCTCCCAGGCACAAGTCACTATGCTGGGGAAATCGAAAGTAACTTTTAAGTGTGCCTTTGTAATGAGGCAGCTGCAGCAGTGACGCAGCAAGATTTAAAGCAGCACAGATATGACGCTGAAGGCTAATGCCAGAGTCATGATGGCCCTTCAGGATGCTTGTAGGATTCCTAAGCTCAACAAGAAAAATTATAGCGACTGGGTTCAGTATGCAGAGGCAATTCTGCGGAAAGAGGGAAATAGAAACCAACATCCTCCCCCTTTCTGTTTTCTTTCACTGTGCAACGATAAGAAACTGTTTGTGTCTTTTACACCGCAGGAAGGTGCGATTCACCAGGCGGATGACCACACTATTCCCAGTAAAGGCTACGGAACTGTTGTTCTTCACAGTTTGGACTTATCGATACAGAATGTGCTTTACGTGCCAGACGCCAAACATAATCTGCTCAGCGTTGGACAGCTGAATGAGCGGAACATTGACGTTTCCTTCAAGAACAAGAAGTGCATCATCACAAAGAAAAATGATTATGTATTGCATGCGGAATATGTTGATCGTTTGTTTGTTTTGTATTATGATGATGTGGTGCAGGATGACACTTGTTGCATTGCAGGTTCTAACAAAAGTTTGCATGCAGAATGTATTCACGATTTTCATCGCAAATTTGGTCATTTGCATTTTGAGGCAGTATCTAAAATGCCTGCCTTGGTTGAAGGTATGACTATTAAACCCTGCAGGTACCACATGAAGTGCAAAGCATGCGCAGCAAACAAGGTGAAAATGGCTGCGAAAGGTAAGGTGTCTAGTAGGAAAGCTACAGAACCATACCAGGTTGTTCATGCTGATTTGGTTGGACCACTGGCGCCCTCTTTGGGTGGAAATAGATACTTCATGGTTCTCATTGATGCATTTTCTAGATATATTTTTGTGTACAATCTCAAGCAGAAATCGGAGGCTTTTCCTAGGTTCAAGGAATTCTGTGCTTGGTTGGAAAATGTGCATGGTAAGAAGATAAAGACTCTTTTCAGTGATCGCGGGGGGGAATTCACTTCTCAGCAGTTTGAAGCTTTTCTGACTGAGAAAGGAATTCAACACGATTTGTCTAGTCCTCGCTCGCCATGGCAGAATGGACTTGCGGAACGGGCAAATCAAACATTGCTTCAAGGATTAAAGACCTTGCTGCATGATGCCAATCTTCCAGAGAGTTATTGGGCCGAATCTCTCTCGTGTTTTGTTTACAGTTACAATCGCAGGTTATCTTCAGCGATTGGTTGTACCCCCTATGAGAAGATGTTTGGCAAGAAGCCATACATCAAACACATGAAGATTTTCGGTTCTGACATGTGGGTTCGCTCACCACAAAACTCCAAGTTAGACAAGCGTGGATTGCATGGTATCTTTCTAGGTTATCAGAAAGGGTCTTACAGAATAATGATGACTGACTCTAAGACAATTAAGCTCACGAGAAGTGTCGAGTACAATGCAAAGTGGGGGGAGAATGTGGGAATTTTCCAATGTTATCCTGATGACGGTGATGAGACTGAGGATAGTCAAAAGCAACCACAACAGCCCACACCCACTGATGAAGGTTCTGAGTCTGAATCTGAAACTGAATCGGGTGATTCAGAGGATTTCGAGAGTGCGAAAGCCTCTATGCGACCCTCTGAAAGCTCTGATCAAGAATTGGAGGAACCATTGTTCACAATAGGTCGTTTTTCTCCTAAGAAGGAAGAGGAGAGTGTTGAAGACTTAAGGATAATTCGTAGGTCACAGAGAGCCACAAAGGCAAACCTCCAAAGAGATTTGCTGATGAGTTTGCTAAGATAGCAGTAACAGCTGTTAAAAGCTCCAAGAAGGTATTTGAACCTTCAAGTTTCCAAGAAATCCAGGGTTTGGATTCAAAGGAAGCTAAGCCATGGTTAAATGCCATGAAGGCTGAGCTTGATTCCTTGGAAAGGAACAAAACATGGGAGCTAGTTCCAGTAGTTCCAGGAATGAAACTGCTTGGAAGCAAATGGGTCTTCAAAGCGAAGACAGATCAAAATGGCAAGATAGTCAGACACAAAGCCAGATTGGTAGCCAGAGGTTTTGCACAGGTACCAGGTGAAGACTATCACGAGACCTATTCACCCACAGTGAGATATGAAAGCATTAGGCTTATGCTTAAGCTAGCTGCAGAGGAAAATCTACACATTAGTCACCATGATATTAATACAGCTTTTCTGTACGGATCTCTAGATGAATCACTTTATATGCTTCCACCTGATGGCGTACAGGTAAAACAGGGATTTGTTTGTGCTCTGAAGAAATCCCTTTATGGTCTCAAACAAAGTGCACGGTGTTGGCACACAAAACTCACTGAAGTATTGTTTTCTCTAGGTTTTCAGCAAGGGAAGCTGATCCATGTGTATTTGTCAAAGAGGAGGGGCAAAAGAAACTGTACTGTTTGTTTTATGTTGATGATTTATTATTCTTTTGGAAAGATGTCGCAATGTACAATAGCGCCCTAGCTCAACTGAAAGAGCACTTTGACATGAAAGATCTTGGTGAGGTAAACAACTACCTATCTCTGGAAATAGAGAGAGATCAAGATGGTAACATTCTAGTACACCAGTCACGGAAAATTGCTGATGTGTTAAGCAAACTAAATCTGATGGATGCTAACCCTGTAGACACACCGATGACAACAGGTTATCAGGTAGATGACACTGAAGAAGCATTTTCTGACACTACACTGTACAGGAGTGTGCTAGGCAAGCTAAACTTCATTGCCAGATGTTCAAGACCAGACATTGCTGTTAGCTGTAATTTGCTAAGCAGACAAGTCAACAATCCTAGTGTCAAGGATTGGAAAGCTCTGAAACGCATAGCGCGGTATTTGAAAGGCACTATGCATTACAGACTGAGATTTAACAATCAGAAGTCTGGTGGTCTTGAGATATTTGCAGATGCAAGTTTTGGAAGTGACGCTACAGACAGGAAAAGTACGTCTGGAGTTTGCTACATGTACAATCAGAGTCTGTTTGATTGGTCATGCAAGAAGCAAACAACAGTTAGCTTAAGTACTTGTGAAGCTGAACTGAATGCACTGTCTTATTCACTTAAGGATTGTGAATGGTTAGTACAATTGTGCAAAGATATGAAAATTCCTGTCAAATGTCCAATCCAGGTTTACCAGGACAACAAAGCATGTTTGGCTTTGCTGAAGTCTGAAGGTTGTAAGCAAAGCACAAAGCACTTGCAATTAAAGTTGCAGCATGCTAGGGAATGTATTCAGAAGGGACTCGTAACGGTGTCCTATATGCCAGGTAATGAAATTCCTGCTGATGTATTGTCCAAGATTGTATCAAGGGATCAACACTGTACCTATGTGCAGAAGTTGGGTTTGTACTGATATTGTACTAACACGCTGCCCAGTGATGTTCACAGAAAGGGGGAGGATGTTGGTTTCTATTTCCCTCACTGAGCAGCAACTGCAGTCACAAGGCATTGTTTTGCATTCCACAGTCAGAGGTACTGTTGGAGTTTCTCACGGGAAAGGGAGACTGGATGTGACGTACACTGGTTTCCTGTTTTTCACTGTCTGTGTGATTCTCTCCAAGCTGTCGAGGAGAGAGGATGCATTTTTCTGCTCTTGCAGAGGCAAGATGTCTTTCTGTAATATACCAGCTTTGAACTGTAAATAAAGCAATTTAGAGTATGTACCACATTTTCCTCATCCTTCCGCTGGGCACGACAGACTCTGCTTTAAATCAACATGATCCAGAGTCACAAGCAACACCCATGGCTGAGCAGCATTCAAGTATTTATTCATTTATTATTTAAAGTATTTGTACCCTGCTCTTCAATGAAAAAAATAAAAATAAAATAGACCAGATAGGCTTAAGTTCACTTCTGCCTTCAGATTTACAATCTAAAAGGACAAGAGATTGAGAGGGCAAAGCGTTCTCATAAATGCTCTTTCTGCCAGGGCAGGGAGGGGAAGAAGCAAGCTTCCTGTGGCTGCTGCTCCTTTGGCCAATGGAAAGGACCAGCTTGGTCTCCCCATTGCTATGATGTTCTTCCTTATAATAAATGGATAACAGCCTCCCATTGGCCTCTGATCCCCTGGCTGATGGGAGAATCAGACAGTACCGCCTTTCAGAATTTAATTAGGAAACAGGAGGAGGGAAGGAATTTATGTTTCCCGTTCAGACATGGCAAGCATTAAAAATGGAAGACAAAACATATAGCGACTCCAGCCCTAATAGCAGCAAGTCAGGATGCCTCTCTGCTAGAGCATGGCAACTGGAGCAGGGCGATATCTGGTTTTCAATATCACGATATATCACCAGCTAATCATCATGATATTTCAATATATCACAATGTTTTAAATCAGGCTAGAACTATGTAGAGGTGAATGTGGTAATGCCCTGGATACTACTTATGGGTCTAACTCTTAAACTGATAAATTTTTACTTACCTTTAACATATTGTTAAAACAGTTATAGTACTACTGTACTGATAATGTTTAAATTAGCACATTTTCTCTAAAATTAAAGCTGTAGAAGTCATTCAGTAGCACAGATATCAAAAGTAAGGCGAGAGAAAGTTTCCTAAAAATTAATTACACTACTAAACAAGAAAAAAGCCAATTCACAATCACTGTCACACTTTTAGATATTCAAATATATTTCACTATTGAGTCTTAGTTAAATGTGTGTATCCCACAACACCAGTTATTAAGTGTGTTAATTTTCTGTTCTTAACCATTGGAAAAACAATGCTAAACAATAAGGAAGGCATTGGCTGCTCTTATGAAGAGAGAAGCAAGTCAACATTCTACATCTGGTCCAAATAGAGCGCACACACACACCATCCACCCCAGTCATGCCACATGCTTACTGACCTTCCCCTGAACTCCCAGCTGAATCAACAACAAACAATGGATTCTGCTGGACTGGCATGGGTGGTAGATACAAATCCCAGTGCCACACATTCCCCTACAACTCCAGAAACCCCAGCTGTGTGCCATGACACCAAATCCAAAGTAGTAGGGAAATGTCCTGCAGAGACATACCCTCAAGAAAGCTGCCAATTGCACTGTGAAAATAGCAACCTCTGCAGTTCAAGCAAAGCTTGCATTCAAGGAACTTAAAAGCACGGCAGCATCTGCGCACTAAGGCTGCCTTGCACCCGTCAGCTTTCACTCCCGCATCACCTTCTGATCCTCTCCAAATGCTGAGCGAACAGAAAAATCTGGCTAAATGCACAGAAGAGGCATTTTAATGAAAAACTGCAAATCAAAGCAACAAGGTAAAAAAAAAAAAAAGCTAGGCACAGGAAAAACATCAGGCATACAAAGAAACAATAAGAAGAAATGGAAGTGTCAAAGCAGCAAAGAGAAAGCATTTTAATTTAAAATGAAAAGGGTGATGTGAGACAAATACCTTTTATATATATAAAAAATAACTAAACTGAGGGGGGAGGAAAAACAGGAAAGAACGCAAAGCAGAAATACTATTTCTTTTCAAGTAAGAAGGGGGAACTGCAGAACGCACAGAATAGAGACAGCCTATATAAAAAGGTCTTAATTTCTAATACAGGAGCTTCCCACATAGTTTGCATTAACATTTTTAACAAGCTGCTTAGTGCCTAAAACTACAGTGAATTTAAAATGTACAGAAGACTGCTAAGCTACAAGCAAACTTGAGACCTGAAGCTCGGAGCATTAGCTTCAAAAGCCTCTTTGCCAGATTTTAACACATGCACAATACGAATTAGGACTGCTCAGTTAGATGACATGAAAATGGTTCCCCAACTAACTGGGAAGAACTTTTTTCTTTTAAAAAAGTAATCATTTCATAGAAGAGCCCACACAAAAAACGTGAAAAGCCAAACTGTTTCTTAGAAGCAGCACCCTCCTTTTTCTGTTACAAAGGAAGGAATGCCTCCAAGATGGGTCCTGATACAGCACGTGTAGGTTTTAATGATTGCCTTTTTCTGTGCTTTTAGCTGCTTCTATTTTAGCTATAAGCCACTTTGAGTCTTTGTCAGGAAAAAAGGCAGGCTACAACAACAACAACAACAACAACAACAACAACAACAACGGCATCATAAAAAATGAAGGAAGGGCTTTTTCCCAATCCAAAACTGCTGTTCATTCACATGAAGAACTTATTTAAAGAAACTTACCGAAGCAGTCATGCAACAGTCTTAACTTGTGTTCAGATAAGAAAATTAGAGGTTATATCCAATGTTAGCCCTACTCAGAGTAGAACCCTTGGCATTAATGGACATAGGACCATTCATTTCAAAGGGGTTACTCCGATATAATCTGACCAGGTACAAGCCAGTTTCCCCCTGTTCGGTCCTTGGAAACATCTGGGTTAATAGGCACTGTAAAAATATTCAAAATAAATAGAATCTAAATGTATTAACAGGGAAGCACCCTTCATAAGAACATACTAACAGCCCTGTTAGATCAGACCAAAGGCCCATCAAACCCTCATCCTATTCTCACAATGGCTAACAAGATGACTATGGGGAAGTCTGGAAACAGGACCCAAAAACAATAGTACCCTCCCCACTTGTAATACCCAGCAACTGAGACTCAGAGGCATACCGCCTCCCAACTGGATTTTCTATTACCCTTCTATTGCAGGCGACCAGCAATAGAAACTGCATTTACTAGAGTTCGCCCTGGCCCACAAGAATTTATGCCGCAGTGATTCTGTTCCAAGTCTTCTTAATTTTTGCTGCAACAAACTAACACAGCTATCCCTCTGCAATCTGGTCCCATGGAAGTTAAGGCTCCCCTCCTTCAGGTTATGTAGAAAGAAACAAGCTTTCCCTAGAAGATTTGAGGATTAAAATCTTAACTGGAGTAATGCATGCTAGCCACCTTCTCTTTGAGTAGAAGCTAATAAAACTATGAAGGCTTGATCTTCACTTGAATTCAGGAAGACTCAAGCAACTGGGTTTAAAACATGTCAATCAAATCCTGAGTTCTCCACATACATCAAATATTAGCACTGTATTGTGTCCACACCTTGACATTCCAAGACTTGCTTTTATACCTGCTGGCTCACCAGTGCAAAGAATGCTATTAAAAGCACTTTGGATTGTAGCAAAACCAGTTTCGAATGTGGTTTGTTTTAGAAACAAAGAATGCTGCCTTTCACTCACATGGGAACCACAAGAAGAATTCCACATGCATTTGCTAACACTCCCCATCTCCCTCCCACCCAAAAGTAAACCACCACATCTTGGGATTCTCATTTTATATCTGAGCCCTTAGTGCCTCCCAAAAATTTAAATCCTCACTCTCACAAATTTATTTTGCTCTAAAGAAAAAAATAAAAGATTCGCCACCACAAATTAATATGTGTGTGTAGCACAGATTGTATCGGGCCATTTTCCAGAGACAAACTGCCAATCAAATGAGAGCATCAACATAAACTACCAAAAAAGCAGAGAGTCAAAGTGCAGAAAAATCTCCAAGCTGTCAAGACATTGCCTTTAGAACAAAGACACCAATATCCTGTGGTGTTTTTGAAAACAAATTTAAGTGTTTGTTCTTTTCATCTTATTTTTGTTTTTAAAGCAAAAGATCAAAGGGGACCCTAGTTGCCAAATGGAAAACCCTAAGAACCACATAGAGAGAAAGGGAAGCACGGAGGGGGGAGAAGAGGGCTAAAGGTTTCAAGTAGTTCAGAAATGACATTTATAAATGAAAAAAGGCAAAGGGGCGAAAAGCTGAAAGATTTACCATCACCCCATTGGCTAGAAAAAAATAAATCCCCATTCTAGATATTTCAAAGCAAAAAAAAAGGAGCCAGGTGTTTTCCATTGCCCCCTTGCCAAAAAAAGTATAACAACTGATTTGGTTCAAATCTCATAATACTAAATCAGCTCCATTTCCTAAAGGTTTTTTAAAAAAGAAAAAAGATTCACTTAGGTGACCTCTGCAGGAACACAGAGAAAGAGCAGGTCATCAAGATTACATTTAGAAGTCATTTTCAACCTTTCCCTGCCAAGGGAGAAAGAGAGTCTGTTTAAACTTCAAGAGAGTGCAAGGAGGGAAGATCTGAAGTGATCTGGAAAGGGGCTGTAAGGCAGGTTCCCAACTCCTGCTCTGTTTCAGCTGGAGGACCACATTCCCTTTTGGAGTACCTTCCAGAGGCTGTGCACCAGTGGTGCCAAGGGCAAATGTGGTCAGAGCAATGGATGCAAGACTTACCTCTATCCAGTACGCTACATCCCAGACACACAAAAATTCAGCAATTTACACAAACGACTTCCATCCTTCGTTCACCAAGCAAGAGGCATTATGACCATTCCAGGGTGAATTCTAGCCAGGCAAAAGAGCAAGGAGCAAGTTTTGTGAGGACTGGGGAGAGGAGCTGAGGGCTCGGTTGCAGCACAGCCAGAGGAGATTCTGGACAGGCAGGCAGAGAGAGGGCTGCATTTGGCCCCCGAGCCCAAGGTTTCCACCACTGTTATCAGATGCCAGGTAGCAAATGATGAGGAAATACCTGGGGAACCAGGTTGAGGAAACAATCCTGAGTTAAGATGCACCGATGCTCCAACTTCAAAGATGGCAGCTTCGGATATTTGGTAAAGCTGACCTGTGCTTCTGACATGGTCCTGGCTTCTGTTGCTTAGACATGTCTCGTACTGTACCAAGCCTGTTGGCAGCCACTGTCCTACCTTGGCTGCCTCCTTCAGCTTTCAAAATACAGTGGAACCTCGTGTTACGTACCGTCCTCCTTATGAATGCTTCGGGTTACGAGCTCCGCTAACCCGGAAGTAGGTCTCCTGGTTGCAAACTTTACCCCGGGATGCGAGCGGAAGTTGCACACTGGTGGCCTGGCGGCAGTGGGAGGCGTCATTAGTGAAAGCGCACCTCAGGTTACGAACAGTTTTGGGTTAAGAACAGACCTCCGAAATGAATTAAGTTTGTAACCGGAGGTACCACTGTAGTTACCATATTTCTCATCTCCCATGCCAGTTGCTCACTTTCAGCATGTTACCTCTGGGCTGAGCAAAGTCGTATCATTAAAAAAAAACAAAAAAACAGAGCAAGCTCTCCTGCAAGTGACGCTTCCACAACTTCACAGGGCTCACTGTGTCAAGGCAATATTTCACAGGTTGTCTGAGGTCCAAGCCCCCACCCCACAAAAATAAAAACCTGCATTTGATGCAGCAAAACACTATATACCCTTACTGGTAAGTACAATTTCAGAACAGCTAATCAAGAACAGAACAAGGGAGGAAATAACCAGGGTACTAGACAACACAAGCTCAGGCTACATTGTCCTCTATAAAAGCAAAACAGAGAAGAGTCAATTTTGTAAGTATATAGGGGACTAGTAGCATGAGGACTGAATCTTCTTCCCCACAATGCCCAGAATAGCTCTTTGCTATTAGCCTCCAGATGCACAAATGGCTCCTTAACTCCTTCTTAATATTGGGAATGGCAACAAATGCTTGGGCAGAGCCCTCACCTTTTATGCAGCTTCATTGCTCAATCTTCTGAAGGACTCAAAACACAAGGATGTAGGAATGAAAACAAAGGTAAATAAACAAAGAGGAAGGCCAAAGTCTCCATCACTATCTGTACTGAGTGAGAGGGAATTAAGGAGCCCACTGTCTGTGTCTCAACATGCACAGAATCATGTGCATGTTGTGAGTGAGGACAGGGATGCCCAAATTCACCTCCATATCCAGCATCCCTCTTGCCTCTGGCAAATGCTACCAAAGCTCTGTGCCAAAGCACCAGAAGCCACCCTATTCTCCATCAGACTTAGGAAGGAAATGTGGCAAGGGCTCAACCCTAACCCCATGCTGGTTGTCTGAAAGCAATTCAATGCCTCCAAAGCTCAGAAAGATATCAGAGACAAGAACTCAAACACTTCAGTGCAGATTCTGTGTTAACTGCAGATTAGATATCCTATCAAGGCCAAGCATGACTTGTGGAAGGGCGATAGCTCAGTGGTAGACTATCAGCCTTGCATGCAGAAGGTCCCAAGTTCAATTCCCCAGCATCTCCAGGTACGGATGGGAGAGGCTCCTGCCTGAAAACATGTAGAGCTGCTGCCAGTCAGTGCACATCTTCATATAAGACAGCTTCCTCTGTTGGGCCCTAAAAGCACAGCCAGTGTTACTTACTTATTATTACTTTAAATTCTAAATTTAAGTTTCAAAACTGAAAATTTTAAAAAGTGATTACAAAAATAAATGTGATTAAAAAATTCCCCCCCAAAATTATTGATTATTTAATATTTCTAAGGTCTGCCTAATACAGGTCTGCCTTACTGGGTTCTATTTTGGATAAATGGGTCTTCTTGTAGTAAAATATAACAAAATAAGACCAAACTATAATATCAGTTACTTCAGACATTTCTTTAGAAAGTTACTCAATTAAAAGGTATCTGAAAAGCTAGTTAGGCTTTTCTTTTAAAAATGTGTTCCAAAGCCGAGTGATAGCTTGCAACTGTGTGACAGAATTAACGCTTTGAAAGAATTCTTGTTAGTATTTCATTTCATGAACATTACAACAATTCATGAAACAGAACCCAATAAGGCAGACAGGTATTAACAAAATATTTATTCTAAATATGATCTCATTGAGAGCCAAAGATGAAAATTTGCAGGTAGCTCTTAAAAATATTAAATAATCAATAAATTTTTTTGGAAATTTTAAATCATGTTAATTTTTAATCACTTTTTAAAATTTAAATTTTGTAACTTAAATTTAAATTTTAAAGTAAGTCCATCATGTGACATATCATATTAAAGCTCATAAAGTTCTGAAGGGATTGATGTTTTAGAGTGGTGTTTTTAGTTTCTCAATTCTGGGCTGAGCTTTTAAGGTTTTTGTGTAGTCCAGCAAGGCCAAAAATTTTTCAAACCCTCATAATTCACAAAGGGGTGAGAGAAATAATTAAAATTTTAGATTTAAACTTAGTTTTGATCATTCAACAAGTGTACAAAATATTAAGAAAATTGGATTGACATGAGGTAAAAAAGTTTGATCACTTGATATAGAATAACCCTCTTGTGAAAACATCACTGACCAGGGAGGAGCCTCTAGAATTGACTTCCAGTTCCATTTGAGCATCTTCACTATCCATTCTGACTATCGGTCCAGAAAATGTTAAGTCTTTTTCTTGCAAACAATAAGAGTAATTCCAGACACTTTCTTTGGGCAAAATAATATTACAGGCAAATATTGTGTTCATTGATTTAAAGCCACAAATGAGAATGCCAAGCCGCAGTTCTGCCACTGCACCCTACCTCAAAAATAAACTCCCATTAGTGTAAATGGATGTATGCATACATAATGAGAATAGACTAATTTGTATTCTGTGGGTGAGGTGAATTAAAGATAAACAGAATCCAGGTCAATTTAGGTTGCATTAGTGAATACACCTCCTTTCCTGGCTCGTTTTCATTCGAACTCATTTTTAACTCAGATTTGTTTTAATTTCACTTTATCACCTCTGAACATCTAGTGATTCTTTCCAATTTACTAGAGGTGGCACACAGCACAAGCAGCTTGCCATGGCAATTAGTCTGATACCCATGCCCAATATTTTTTATTATAGCAGGGGATTCACAAAGCATTTCAATGCATGCCTCCTCATCCATTTATATGATGGAACAGACCAAATGAAGCCCATAGTATGTTTTGAAACCCCAGAGACATCAACCCCATAGGGGAAAACAAGTCTTTATACAAAAAAGGGAGGAAAGGGCTACAGCCTCCTTTGAAAACAAAACCAGCAGTATTAGTGACTGAGGCACACAGAGAAACTGGAGCGAGTCAAGAGAAATTAGGGAGGCCAACCCACGTTCCAAGACGATTGAATTTATCTGTGTCGTTTATTACGTATGTATGCTGTCTGTATTACATACAGGCTTTATTACACATGCATACTGCTTTTCCTCCACGGCACTTGGGGTGGCAGACATAATCTCCTTTTTCCCTGCCTATTGTACTTGACGAAACCTTACACTGAGGCAAGTGGCTTAATCTCCATCAGGTCTGTAAAATGACAATATGGCTTTAGATTGTTCTGAGTATGGTCAATCAATAATAAGAATGTCAGCATCCTTAATAATAGAACAAACTCAGTGATTTCAGAACAGCGCCCAAGATTTGTGCCTGCTCTGGCATCTTCCATCAGTTCTCATTTTGTGAACAGAGGGGTCACTATGCAAGCTTGAATAGGAGCTTTGCCTCCTAAGGAAGATGCATGAAGGGTGGTATTTCATGGAGGAGAGGATTGTTATTCTAGCAGTGCCACCTACCTGGAGCAAACCCACACCATACATTTAAAACACCATACATTTAAATATATGTTGAATATTTAAAGCAAATGGCTTCCCACAAGGAATTCTGGGAACTGTAGTTTGTTAAGGTTGCTGGAATTGTTGCTCTATGAGGGGGAAACTACAGTTTCCAGTATTCTTTGGGAGTAAGTCATATACTTTAAATGTACATTGGATGTGCTTTAAATGTATGGGATGAACCTGTCCTCCATCACATCCCCTGTGGGTATAGAGTTTTGATTTTTTTGATGCAGAGGACAGTCTGTTACATTTTATACACATTTCTGTCCCTCAAGGGCTATTAACCACAATAGCTAAATGTGTCCATGTTAGCATGTAATATACAACCAGAAATCCAGATGCTGGAAACCAACAAAGAAAAGCCATTCCTTCCATGCCCTTTTCTGGGAAACATCTGGCAGGACTACAACTCTCTTCATCCCTGACCACTGGCCATGCTGAATGGGACTAATGGGAGCTTGAGTTCAATAACATCTGGAGAGCCACATGTTGCCCACTCCTAGAATAAATGGTCCTTTTGTCCAATCCAGCAAGGCAGTTCTTCTGCCCTTGGGGGCTAACACAGTCAGAAGATACAACTTAGGAGTCCAGGCTCTGCAATTAGCTGGAAAAGCTAGCAGACATGGAGAGTTAAATTAATAATTCAGAGCAGGGTCTTGTCGGAGCTCATTATTACAAATACCTCCCACCACAAGTCAAGTCCCAGTGAAAACTCTTATGTTCAACCACTGACCTATTTCTTGGCCAGACTATGTCTTATAATGGCATCCCTATGAAATAACTGCGGGCCTAAAAGCAAGGCATGGAAAAGAGAAAGATATACAACAGAAAACAAGGAGGGTTATGAACCTGAAGCCAAAGGAATCTGGTTACTAGAGAAGCATAGATGGAATTTCATTACAAGGAGATTAGTTAATATTTGTTATCCATTGCCAAGGGCTTTAGAAGGAACAACTTACATTTGCAAGGATGCCAGGAACGCTTGGAGGTTAAGAAGTGAAGCAGGACACAAAAAGCTACCTTAAGCAGACAACCACCCTCTTCATCGTTGAGGGATTGGGGGGGGGTATACACAAGGGGATGGCAGAAAGAAGAAAGCTCACAGTTTGATCCCCAGACAACTTCTGGTAGACTACCATGGCCTGCTGGAATCCCTGGTCTGATCCAGCAAGGGATCGCCTACATTTTTCTCAAGCAAGAGTGTGCTCGCAGATAATTTAACACAGACTAGGTAAAGGTAAAGGTACCCCTGACCATTAGGTCCAGTCATGACCGACTCTGGGGTTGCGGCACTCATCTCGTTTTATTGGTCGAGGGAGCCAGCGTACAGCTTCCAGGTCATGTGGCCAGAATGACTAAGGCGCTTCTGGCGAACCAGAGCAGCACACGGAAATGCTGTTTACCTTCCCGCCGGAGCAGTACCTATTTATCTACTTGCACTTTGATGTACTTTTGAACTGCTAGGTTGGTAGGAGCAGGGACTGAGCAACAGGAGCTCACCCCGTTGCGGGGATTCAAACCGCCGACCTTCTGATCGGCAAGTCCTAGGCTCTGTGGTTTAACCCACAGTGCCACCCGCGTCCCACAGACTAGTGATGCCTTAATTGAGAAGGGATCCTAAGCACTCTTGTTTTGTACAGTAAATTTAAAATACACTCATAAAAAATTAGATTGGTGTACTGGAATACCACACAAGACTCGGGTCAGCCCACCTCTGCCACAGAGCGATCCATATACAAACATACCTTGTAGGGTTATTGGTTACTCTTGCCAGTGTTAGAAACTCAGATATATAATCTAATTGCCAAATGGCACCTTAAATCTGGGTTGCATTTGCCACAATGGAATTTCTAAGTGCAGGGTTTTTTTGGGGGGGGTTGCAGGGGGATTATTATTTTCATCATCTTTATACCACTTTATATTTTTTGAAACAAATCTCAAAGCAGTTTACAACACATCAAAACATCAAATAAAACACTCCAGAATAAAACAAATTTGATCTTCAAGGAAAATATTTCAGATCCTTCTCTAAGTGACATTTTGCTTTCCCCAGTCACCGACCTGGCATCTAGAGATCTCCCCAGGTGGTAATTGGACCCACACCAGTCACAAAACGTGCCTGGCACCTGACTAGTTTCTGACACTGTCTGAAACATGAGAAGCTGTCAGACTCTCTTTATCAAAATCAGTACTGCCTGCTCTGGCTGGCAGCAGCTCTCCAGGATCTGAGGCAAAGAAAAGGCTTTCCTGACACCTCCTACCTGAGTCTCTCAACTGGAAAGAGCCAGGAACTGAACGTGCTAATTTCTGCATGCACCTTGTGGACATAAGGCGCTACATTCAGGAATAAGGAGGAATGAATAATACATTGTTACTCAGAAAACTCTGGCAATTTTCTTTGGAGGAAGAAAGGGAGACCACTCTATGCAAACTGGAAGCCTAGGATTGTATCCAACTGAGTTCTACTCAAAGTAGACTCACTGAAATGTATGGTCCTAAGACAGTCATGCCCATCAATTTCAATGCTTCTACTCTTCAGCTGACTTAACACTGGCTACAACCTCTAGAGTTTACTGTTATCACCTTTGAAATTCACTCACACACAGGAACAGCAGGAGAAGCTAAGTCTAAGAAAAGGGAAGAGGAAAGAAGGAGCTTTAGGTGGATGTTGGCTTCTCTTCCATTCACCTTGGATGGCCTCTCTCTTACATTGTAAAGGCAGAAGTAATGGAGTAATGCTTCCCAGCTTAAAAAGCAAGGGGGAGAGAGAGAAGAGGAGGGGGAAATGCTTTATTTATCTGTAGGCAAGCATGGCTCTAACTATGAGAGAAAGTGAACAATAAGATCCCACCCTAGGCATTGTGTGGGTCTCTCCCTCTCTTTCCTTCAGTCCTCACTAACTAATAGATTAGCATAGCAGCTCACCACCCACAAGAAGAAATCATTAAAACGAAAGAAATTGATCCTGGCAAATAAATTATAGTGCATGCTCCAGGAACAAAACCAAAAGAAGTCAATCACTTTTAAAATCAGATTCCACACCCAGTAACTGTACTTCCCTCACCCCAATCTTCAGGCTCCCCACATCCTATGAAAGCAGTCTACACACATAAATGCACACCAAATGGGGTGCTATTGTATGTATTTAGCACCTAGCTGTGCCAACAGTTAAGAGTTAAATTAAGTGTTAGCAACAAGAGTAAAATACACTTATAATTTCTTGCTTGTTGTGGAACATGACATTTCAGATATATTTGTTAATTGAAAAAAACAAAAGCATTCTAAATCTTGACATACATTTGTAATAAACAGAGACCAAATGTTTATATCACTTATAGTAATGAATACTATTGACTGGAGTTTCACTTTACAGCAGCAGAACTAGGCACACACACAAACCACAAAAGGGGATATATATACACACACACATATACACTTTTTTGTAAAATGACATGGTACTATAAAACCCAGAAATAAAGCTGTTCACAAGCAAAGTCAGTCACTAAATTAAAAGCAACAGCAAAACAGTATTCAAAAATAAACCAAACTCAACCACATGCTTGAATTAATGAAGGAAGGAATGAATGAATCATTTTGTTTTCTTACAGCCAACTTCACCAACTGTTATAGTTTTCAGGAGTTTAGCTTCTGCTCTCTCCCCTCCCACACCTCTCTGTTCCCAAATATCTCCCAAATCTTAAAAAGAGGGGTGAACATATATGTATGTGTCTGTGCAAGTCAAAGGCAAGTATCTCAGAGAGGGAGGCTGTGATTACACACATTGATACAATCTTCTCTTAATGCAATCAATGCAAACATCATGCATTCATTCACAAAATGGGGCACAGCTTACTCTTTCCTAACAACCCATTGGGGAGGGTTTGTCTCTCTCTCTCTCACACACACACACACACACACACAGAGAGAGAGAGAGATCACACTGGGAATGGTTATCAACTAAAACAGTTCACACACAAGCTGTTCTAAAATAAAAAGGGAAGGGGGGAAATCACTGAAGTTGATATGTTTCCATACTGTACAGAGAATAGTCTCTTCCCACCCCCAAATCTTCTACAAATCTTCCATCTATTTAAAATATGCATAGAAGACAAAGTTATCCTTTATTTTTTGGGTGGGAGGGGGTTTCACCAATCAGTGACTGGTAAAACAAAGAATGAATCTAACTAGATACCAGCAGTGACAGGAAGAAAGCAAATGTTACAAATCACCAATTTCAACCTCTTTTTGAATTGCATCCACATGGACTCCCAGTATCCATTCAAGAGTCATCTGAAGAATTCAACAGTCATTCCGATTCATAACATGCACATACACAAAAACCCAGTTTCTCAAAACACTTCATGGAGTGGCTGGGGGTGGGGCAGAATCAGCCTCTAACAACAAAATCTCCAGTTCTCTACCGAAATCTTTTTGAGCTACATGTGAAACCACCAGGTGTTTAAAGGGGCCTTTTAAGCACACCTCAACCAAAACACACATATACACAAAAAAACCCTTCCAATTTCCCACCTACCCCATATCACTTCCTGCACAAACCATGGGGAAGGAAATAAATAAAAAAGCAAAAAGCAATTCAAAGAGAACTTCCTTACTCACCTTCACCTCACAGATCACACCATCAGTAGATTCTTTTTGGTGGTGGGGGTGGGGGACAATGGGTAGATCCCAAGGAAAGTCTAAAAGAAGCAGGGGAAGAATGGGATGGGGAGGGGAGAGTTGTGGAAGGGTCAGGGCTAAAATATATGTGTTGCTGTGGATTTGGGTTTCTGGGAAAGAGGCTATGGAAGCCCCCCAGCAAAAAAAAGGGGGGGATAGAAAGAACGAGATTGTGGAGGAAAAGCAAGAGATGTGGTGATGGGAGGGGGCTTCTATTATGAATGGAAGCAGGGGAGGGGGAGGGGTGGGAGACTGACTCAGTTGGATCCTCTGATGCTTATGGAGCCAGATTCTTCAGGGTTTGGGGTTGTTTCTTTTAGGGGAGGCGGAAGAGGCCAAAGATTGAGGAGGGGGCCCGAGACTGTTGTGGGAGGAGACAATGTGCTCAGTGGGGGTGGGGGGCGGGTGAGGGGAAAGAAAGAGGGATTGAGAGAGGGCTGGGGGGTCGTGCAAGAGGAGCAGGAGGAAGCCAGTGGGGGTGAAGGAAAAAGATGGGTGAATATTGAGGAGGGGGGAGGAAGAGATAATCCAGCCAGCTCAATGCACACCCTCCTCTTTTCCTTCTGTGGGGAAATATATATGCAAAAGAGGGTGAAGGGAGAGAGAGAGAGAGAGATAAGCAATAATAGCAGCAGTGTGAGCTCCTCTCTTTTCTTCTTCCTCTCTCTCTCTCTCCTTCCTTCTCCTCCTCCTCCTCCTCTTCCTCACACAACCAAAGAGACACCCAGCAACCACCCCCAGACAGGCCAGCGCCACATACCAGTATCGCGCCTCCTCATTGGCTGCTGGAGCCGGTGTGTGCCTGTCTATGAATGTGCGTGTGTGTATATAGATGTGTGCGGTGGGGGAGGAGGAGGAGGGACCTCATGACCCCGGCGAAGAAGCCGCGACCAATCAGGGCAAAGGATGGAAGTGATTTAAAAAAGAGGGTGTGTGAGAGAGAGAGAGTGCATATGTATGTTTGTTTGAGTGAGTAGGAAGGGAGCGGGATTGGGATTGGGCGAGGCGGGAGGCCGGGGGCGGGGATTCTTCCTCGCGCCCGCGACGGTTGGCGCGCTGAGCTTGGGGGTCGGGGGGGGAGGCGCTACTCCCCTCCCCCGCCCTTCGCCCTCAAATACAGGCAGTTTCCCCTCATGTATTTTTGTACTGTATCTTCAAAGTGTGTGGTTGTGGGTCCCCCCCCCGCGGTCCCTTCTTTTTATTGAAGTTATCTAGCTGAATTTCTTTATATCTCCCTTATGTGAATTCTATTAATTAGCATATTACTGTATTTAATAATTGTATGTTGGAGTCTTTATCATAAGAGTTTTCATTATGCCACCATATAAACGTGAAATGTCGCCATGATCATTTATTACATGTGTAATCAGTGCCGGATTTACGTTTAAGCTAAACAAGCTATAGCTTAGAGCCCCACTCTCTTGGGGGCCCCAAAAAAATTTAAAGGGGAAAGTTATAAGATAAAAAACAAATAAAATAAAACCTACATACAGCAACAGTGTTTTGTGTTGTTTAGGTTCTTATTTGTTGTGTGCAAATCTAGGTCCTATTATGGACCTATTTCATAAATTACCATATACTGTAGCATATATTCAACACAAAAAAACAGCGGCAATTTGTTGTTGACAAGGGACAGCTGGACATATAAAGGGCCCCATTACCTTCAGTAGCTTAGGGCCTCATCAAACCTAAATCCGGCCCTGTATATGCTGCCTTTCATGCGGAAACCCCAGCCAGATAGGCGAGGTATAAATAATGAAATTATTATTGTTATTATTATTCATCTGAAGATCGGGGGCAGTTCACAACATAAAATGAATGCAATATGTTCACCATGTGTTGGTTATCGGCATGGGCATCATCCATATATTAATTGTGTACTACACTAAGGGATACATGGAGCAGGCTATTGTTGATTTTCTTTATTGCTGAATGCCAGATCTGCTTGGAGTAAGACCTCCCTCATCCACGATCAGATTCTGGACCAGAAGGTTGATCTGGTCCATATGGCTTGAGACCTGGGTGGGTGAGCCTGGCAGAGTTTGCCTCACCCCGCTACTCCCACATGGGTACTCTGGAGCATCATGGCTGACTTGAGTGTCAACGAGGGGAAATTGCTGTGATCTATAGAGATCCCATCTCTCTCTTTCTCCGGGCTCCCTGCCCATGGAGAACCCGCAAAGGACTCTGTAAGGGCTCTTGTGTCCCCCATAAGGGAATAAGGGGAGATTTTCGTTTATTAAAGGTAAAGGGACCCCTGACCATTAGGTGCAGTTGTGGCCGACTCTGGAGTTGCGGCGCTCATCTCGCTTTATTGGCCAAGGGAGCCGGCGTACAGCTTCCAGCTCATGTGGCCAGCATGACTAAGCTGCTTCTGGTGAACCAGAGCAGCGCACGGAAACGGCGTTTACCTTCCCACCGGAGTGGTACCTATTTATCTACTTGCGCTTTGACATGCTTTTGAACTGCTAGGTTGGCAGGAGCAGGGACCGAACAATGGGAGCTCATCCCGTTGCGGGGATTCGTTTATTACAGTGGGGATAGAGAGCGTGTTTCCCTGCCGTTGGGCAATTGGGACATTTGAGGGAGTCTGCTGGTTTACCACCCTGTGCCTGAGCTGACACTGGGACTCAGCTACACAGCGTCAAATAAAACGTTTTAAGTGTGTTGTAAACGTGTTGTAAAAGTGTAAACGTGTTGTAAAAGTGCAATATACAAATGTGAGACTAGATAGCAACGGTGAGCTATGGCAAATTCAATATATTTTTCAAAAATATTAAAAAAAAATATAAAAAAGCATTTTCACAGCAGGTATTTTTATATGTGTGTAGTTTTCACCTTGGTCTCAGAGGACTGCTGGTTCTGGGAGACCTCAACATCCATGTCAAGGTGAATGGCTCTAGGGCAGTGGCAGAGGAAGAGGAGTGTGGGGGAAGCGTACTGCCCCCGGCAGCGCGATCCTGGTGGGGTGCCATTGCGGCTGCCCCCCTGCCCGTGCTGGGTGCCATGCCCCTGCAGGCAGTGTGCCACGCCCCCAGGACCCTCGGCATGCCCCTGTGGGAGGCATGCTATGCCCCTGGGACGTGCGCCATCTCTGCCACTGCTCTGGGATAGTCGCACTGTATGATTACCTCCATTGGGAGAGAGAGAGGGAAAATGTGTCCCTGTTAATTCTCAACCTCTCAGTGGCTTTCAGTACCACCAACCATGGTATCCTAGTGGCGGTCCAAGTTAGGGGCACTGTTTTGCAATTGTTCTGATCCTGTTTTGATGGATGTTTCCACACAATGATGCTTGAGGAGTGCTCTTCTACCCTGTCCTTCAATTAAAAAAACAAACCCATACAAAATATACACTGATGGCAAGGTTTTATTTTTCTAGCTGGGAACGTCTGATAAGACAAAAGTGTATTCAGTTGTGGGCACTTGTCTTATCTCAACAGGGATTTTATAAAGATATATACATATTGCATGTATGTGTAAAAATACATATATTTTCATTATATATCATGTGTATATTATAATATTTCAAAATCATAAAGCACCTTGGCAGAAAGGCAGTATATATGAGCAGCAAATAAATAAATATGATCAATGTTCCCAATAAGATACATGGGATATTTTGTCAGTGTGTTTTATTTTTTAAAAAAATGCAAAGTACAGATATGAAAAATAAGTGAATGACAAAACATCTACCTCTGTTTTGTCATTCATTCATATAGAGACATACTTTTTAAAGCGTCAAACAAACATTTGCCCTGGATCCCAGAAGGTTGCGATTAATCACTAAAGCAATATATTTATTACAGTGGCTAACCAAACAGATATATTAAATTTTTAAAGGCAGAAACTGAAACATTTGCCACAACCAGCTGTTTCGTTAGTCACTGTATTGTGTGTGTGTGTGTGTATTACTTTTAACTAGAAAAATATAGCTCCATATAGTCCAATATATGGAGGTTCTCTCTGTAAATATATACCCATATGCACACCAATGTGAAATGCTCGATTAATAAAATACACATGGTACATGATGTAGGGGTAAATGTGTATTTTATTAATAGCATTTCTATGCCATCTTATAAACGTAAAATATTCACATATATTAAAAAATGCATATCATATGCATTCTTTTATTTACCAATAGAAATTCTACTTTATAAACTCAAAATGTTCACAGTTAATAAATACATATTATTCAAATTTTCTTATAAAAGAAGGATTGGATCAGGACCAGTACTATTATTAGGCAGAGTGAAGCAACCGCTTCAGGCAACAGATACTGTACCTGGGAACAGCAATGAAGGCTCCGTGGATGGCAGGAAATAGCTTGAACTGGGTGTGATCTTTTACAAAATAAATAGAATGCATAGCTTCTCAGTCTTTTAGAATTTATTGAGGCTACAAATTAATGATCCTCAGCTTCGAATAAAATATAGGGTTAACCTTTTAGATCAAGCTCAGAGTAGACATTATTTATTATATTAGTACTAATAGCATTAATTTGATGTGCTGCAAAGGTCTCCACACAATTTGCAACACATTTGAAATGTATTTTCTTAGGTTAAAGGGGTCGGGGTTCTTAGGATCCTGATAGTGGGTGATTACATCAAAAGGGACATATGCAAAGCCTCCAGATGTCATGCCTCATCTAGATAGCATGGGAAGGAGTCCATGATCACAAAACACATTGGTACCAATGTGACCACTGCTCCATCTAGCTCAGTATTGTCTGCACCTGAATAGTGGCAGCTGTCCAGGATTTTGAACAATGCTTTCTCCCAATGCTACCCAGAGATGGTGGGGAGTGAACCTGGAAGTTTCTGCATGCAAAACTGATTCTCTACCACCATGGTTAGGCAAACTAAGGCCCAGGGGCCGGATCCGGCTCAATCGCCTTCTGAATCTGGCCCAATCGCCTTCTGAATCTGGGAATCAGCGTGTTTTTACATGAATAGAATGTGTGCTTTTATTTAAAATGCATCTCTGGGTTATTTGTGGGGCCTGTCTGGTGTTTTTTACATGAATAGAATGTGTGCTTTTATTTAAAATGCATCTCTGGGTTATTTGTGGGGCATAGGAATTCGTTCTTCTTCCCCCCCCACCCAAAAAAAATAGAGTCCAGCCTGTCACAAGGTCTGAGGGACAGTGGACCGGCCCCTTGCTGAAAAAGCTTCACAGAAGGCTAGTGTAAGCAATACTGAGCTAGATGGACCAATGTTCTGACTCAGTACAGTATAAGACAGATTTCTGTGTATATAACATTCTCCTCTGTAATCTGAACTCCTATTAACTACAGCCGTAACCTACTACATCCTTCTATATTAAGCTCACGTATATTTGAGAAGATGAACAGATAAGTAATAGCAGGTAAATTGCCGATTGCAATTCCCCATTCAGCAGCCAAGAGGAACAATAAAGAAAACCAACTCATTTCCCCCCCCCCTTTTTTTAAAGAGCAACAAAAATTTATTCTGCAATCAGGAAATTGCAACTCAGCCTGCGATCATGATGGATGAGTCATGGCCTTTCCTCAGCTCACTGTTAAAGCAGAATGAAAGGCTAATTAAACAGGCAAATGTCAATATGGTGATTAGCTTACCGTATAATATTCTGATTGGCTTTTACGGATGACCTTCCTCCACTCCCCTACGATTTGAATAGGTACGCCTCCCCCCCCCCTTTATGTTGTATGTCTTAGGG